AGGGGTTTTTATGCAGGAAATAACTTTTTTAATTATTTTCTTTCTATTCTTTGTTTTCTTTATAAAGGGCAATAGTTAAATAGAAACAAGCATACATGTGCAACTCCATGAACGTGTTGATGGAAAAGATAACAAGGCCTTGCTTGAAAAATTAACCTCTCATGTGGTACGAACTTCTTGATTATATAGAACCACCTGTTCTTGCTGAAAATCGCATTCTGTTCCTCAAATAATGCATAATATTAGTTTACTCTATCATAGTTTTAATGTCGGCATTTAAGGCACCAAAAATTGATTGATTGGGTCTCTCTCTTTAGGCAAAGGACTCCAGCTCATGGTTGAGGACAGTTCGGGAGAGCTGTAGTGTTTTACACTATGACCTGTTGGCATATTCTTTTTTTTCAGCGGCACTGCTATCACTGCAAGGAGATAGTAACGGCTGTAGCAGCAGCTTTTGAATTACCAGTTTACAGGTTGTCATACTAAGGTTAAGTATTGCCAATTTTATGTTAACACCATATGCCAAATTGTAAACTGTCTCCACGCTGAACTCACAATATAAGCAATTAAGCTCATTCAAATGAAGCAGGAATCTCTATAGCTATTGAAAAGAATGCAAGCTCATTCAGGACTCACATTCCCACACACAGATCAAAGTACCTTGAAATGTAAACACCAGTGAGATCATTTGTTTGCAAACCATTTTTACTGCAAATAAGGTTCAATCATCTGATTTCAGTAAGTGCCGTGAAAAAATTGCAGTCTAACAGTACAAAAATTCACCTCCTGAGCTTGCCCTACACTTAAATAAAAAATAGTGAAAACTGATGCAGTCCTCTCCTATCAAAGAAACACCACTCATTTCTGAGCAAAATTATGAAGACGTCTCAGTTTCACCTCACTGCGCCATAATAGGAAAGAGTTTGAACTTTTGAAGACACTTGTTATACCCTTCAAACCCAGCCAGTTGCCAAGAATTGTGACACTCTCAAACTTTAGACAGGCAAGGCAAAACAATGCTGAAAGAAAAAGAACTTTCATCTTCTCATCACATTCCACAGTTAAAATATTAATCTGATAATATATTTCAATTCTGGAGTTTTCATTTCTGTTTAGAAAGAATTTTTTTTCCTTCTGTTAAATTGATGGAAAGCAATGAGCTATCCTAGTGTAACATTTTTTTAAAAAGTTAAATAGTATAGCTCTCCTCCTGTAAAATTTAAACCAGTAAATATCAGCTTATATGATTTAACTATTAAAGAACTGATAGCTTTGCAACAGTAAGTATAATACGTTTAAACTGACCTAGCAAGAAGCAGGGCCAACAGTCTAAAAATAAAACAGATAAGTTATGATAAAAATGACCTCCATAAATTACATATATTGCCTGTACATGTATTGTCCTCCCTACAAAGAGGCAGATACTTCCTTTTCAGTATAATGTCACCATACTTCTCATTAGACAGTAGTTTAACAAGGGAAGACACTAACTTCAGTATTACAAAGAGATTAGTTTTGATAAGCAACAAAAGCAAGTTTTGTTCAAAGCTGACAGGCAGCAGCATCCTTTCTAAGCAGGGCTTTGGTACAAGCCATCCGAGCCTCCACATGCATAGCAATTTAATTCTTTAGCAGGTTAAAACATACTGCTCAAAGAATTCACAATTTCACAATACCTACTTGTTCTCCATAATACTGCCACTAAAAGTCTGACATTTATGCAGCTACTGGAGAACATAACAGGCACAGAGCATACTACTTACATAATTGCTATACATATATATGTATTTGGTATATAACACTACATTGTCACAATTTATGTATTTTTCTCAGATAAGACAGTAAAGGACAGTCACATACATGCTTAGAGATGATGTTAAGAGAAACCAGGTTATTGTTCAGCACTGGTTTTAAGATAACGGTGAATCCCCAACATGGAACTCCTCAAAACCTTTCAAATAAGACATGACACTAAAAAGACAACTCACTATCAACTAAATAGTAAAGAAAAATAGAGGTCTAGGTGATAAAACTTTCTAAAGACTGGTTTCAGTTAATGTTCATTTGTTCAGTCCCATATAGTATCAATGAATTTCCCACATAAGACAAGGAGTATATGAAGTTAGTATTCTTTCCTAGCATCATCCAATTTCCACATGCTTTCAACAGAAAGCATATTCACCACCGTATAACAACCTCAATAGCTTTGTAAGCCTCAGTCAAGCACTTAAGTATGAGTGGAAATGTGAATAGCAGTACTGTGCAGGCTTTCAGAATTGCTGTCCTGAGAGCCAAGGGACTTAGCAAGCCTACTGAAATAAGCAGACTTCTTCTCTTAACTTACTGCCCTCTCAACAAAGGGGAACGACTACAATTACTTTAGACATTCCATTTTAGCCTTTTATCTACATAATATATGTGCAGTTTCTGGTTCCATTTTCATTAGCTGAAAAAAAAGAAGAGAAATAAAGACAGACTATTTCTTAATCCTTCATTTTCTTCTCACTGCATGGTCTTGATTTTTTAAAAAAATCTGCGATTCTATATTTTATTACATAAACTGTAAAATTATGATGCACACTATATCTTCCGTGGCAACTTATCCAGATTGGATAAATTCATGCCTGTGCTCATTTGTATGACAAGTTTATATTCTGCAGCTATGCAGCTTTATATTTAACTACATTATTTCCACAATCATTTGAAGTACAGATACGTTATTGCCATTATGTTCATGTTGCTAAGATACCAGGCTTATAAATTCTTCCAGTCCCAGAGACTTAGAACACAAACTATATTCTTAAACAGGGCTCCTGATTTTGGCAGGGTGCACTTGCTAAAGCACAAAGATAAACCCAAAGTCTCTGCATTCACATCATGTTCTGGAGGGTCTGCAATGTCAAGAAGCATGTGATCTTCCAGTTACCAGGATGGTCCTGCCCTTCCTCAGGAGGTGGGACAGATTCTGTATTATGAATTCATGTGTACTTGACTTAACAAACAAAAATAGGGCTAAAGGATAAGAGTATTTAAATAATAATAATGATTAAACCAACCAACCAACCAACCAGTTGATGCTAAGTGAGTAACAGAGGATTACAAAAAGGCTATATGCAAGGAAGCCCTAGTTTGGTCTTGTCAATGAGATTTGCTGAATTAAAAACACAAAAGAAAAATCACCTGACACATTTGGACACCTAAGGAATGACAGACAAAGATGTTCACTTCCTGCATGCAAGATTATTTGAAATGTTTCTGGAAGTATGTTCTTATCACCACCTTAAAAAGAAAGTTAACACCAGATTCTGGTCTACTACTAAGATATCTACTATGATTTACTGTACAATAAAACATTTTCCATGTATAGAGACACATAAATCACCATTCACTTAAATAAAATACTAGGGCTTATTACTATTGCTGCCTCTTACTAAGAGTCCAGAATTGGGGTAAGCTGCTACGTCATAACCAAAAAATTAAATTCCAGGAAAGAAATTACATTCATATTTAGGTACCAATGCATATTCTAATACTTCAGCGCTACAACAGCCAGGAGCTGCTGGCATGTGCAGGAATTAGCATTGATTTTGACAATGCAAACAAAACAACCACCTCATCTCTTTGGACTCAATTTATGGATCTGATTTCACAACAAGTAAAGGGCAGAACACTGGCTCTGAAACTGTTTCAGAGCAAACTTATTTCTCCTTTATGCTTGAAGCGATGGAAATGATTTTTATAAACAATAACCAGAGTAGCTTCAGACTTTTAGTACAGGTTGTAAATATTATGTTAGACAAGCAAGGCACTTGCTTTATTAAAATTGCCAGATACTCAGAACAAAGAATTATATACAGAAGTCAGTTGTTCACCTAATAATTTCCTAACATTTAAGAGCTGGTGTTCTCCACACAATGTCCCAGAAGGAATTTTTATTTAGATTGAAGGTGTCCTGGCTCGTAATACCTGTACTGGTATACAAGTTAAATAACTGCACATTCAAGACGTATCTAATTAGACAGAAGGAATGCAGATGGTAAGGATGCTTATAGTGATACGGCACAACTATCCAGTACAATGCCAACATCCAACTGCTAAGTGTGGCAAAGGGAAAACATATGAAGGAAGACACACTGCAGGGAAGGAAGACAACTGAATGTTAATGGGAGAGGAAAAGGGGTTTTTTTCTTTTTTCTAAAAAAAGAAAACTCAAGAGACTGAGTTTGATTTTAAACAAATACAAGGAAGTGACCAGAGTATACATTTAACCAAGAGTCTCACAGACGTTACTTTTTTCCCCTCTCTCAGTTCACCTCTCTGACTATTGCTAAAAGAATGTTAATGCTCTCACTCCATGAGCTGCTTTCTTAAATTAAAAAAAGAGAGGAAGAGCTTCCCAGTTCTTTCTTTGTATTATTTCAGTGCTTTCACAGTGTTCACAGTAGAAAGTTTTCTTCGCAACTTTTTACCTAGTCAAAAACTGAGCTCATATAGTGTTTCCTGTTGCTTTTTACAACACCTCTACTTAAATGGCTTTTGCCTCTGTTTTACAGAATTGAAGTTGAATGAAGTAGAAACAGATTTATCTCCACAAGTAACAATTAAAATAGGCTGCTAATTTCTGCATCGTGGAAATATTGAAGACAATGAGACTTCCAAAATCCTGCTGCAGTGTAGCAAGACCAGGTAGCTGCAAAAAAGCCATCCTTCTATTTGACAGGAAGTTTGTCATTTGTTAGAAGAACGTTAATATCTGCCTCATCTCAGAAGTCATCTCATACAATGTAATTGTTAGGCAAGCACACGGAAAAATGTTCAGCCACTTTGAGGTTTAAAGCATCTGTCTGGAGCACAGATTAGCGAAACAGAAAACGATCAGGTTTGGTTATTTAAAAACAAAACAAAAGAACCCCTCCAAACAACCATCAACAAACACAAACAAAACCAACCAACCAATAAAAATACAACCTAGGAAAATTTTTAAGTGGAAATAAACTTACCAATCGACGCATCACCATCGAGGAGATTGTCATCTTCAGAGGTCTGAAAATCCATAATTACTCCTGCTCCATCTAAAAGCTCCTCATCACTGCTTGCACTAGTTATACTATTGTAACTGTTTCGATAGTAGCCTCTATGAAACAGCTGCTCAGACTCCATTTAGCTGCTTTATAACCTATATATAGAGAGAAAAAAAGTTATTTTCTATTTGAATATTCAAAAAATACTAAGAAGTTTATATCAAATAAAATTAGTATTTCAAGCTTTGGGGAAAAAATTGTTAAGCTCACAATACTACAAGTTACAAAAAGGTAGCAGTAATATAGAACATTTTGTATATAGAACATTTTACAAAAATCTTCAGTGATTTTTAACTGGATGATGTTTTCTCAGGCCAATGTACTAATGAAGTCTCAAGAAAGAGCGTAGTATGCACTAGCAGTCCCCAATTAATCTGATTCAAGAATTATCAGTTAAGACAGAGAGCTTCATTAAAGCCTTATATAAATCCACAGCTTGTCCACACATTAAACACTTTATATAGTTCCAAAAGTCCAAAAGGATTATATAGGAGAGTTGGAACAGGTTACAGAAGAGCACAATGACGACAAAGAACAAAAGAGTTTTCCTTCTAAAAAGACAACAAAATGGATCAGGACCCTTCAGTCTGGAAAAGGCATAATGTAGAAGATGACAACAGATGTCAGCAGAATCACAAGTGGCGTGAAGAAAATGAAGAGGTCAGTTGTTTGTCAGTAGCCCTACATGTCTTAATGAAAAAAGTGAGGTGACAAGCAGATAAAAAAGGGCTAATCCTTCATACAGTATGTAGCAAAGTGGTAGAATTCTTTGCCACTTTGCAGAAGAATGCAACGGTTCATAAAGCAGCCAGACAAACTCACAGAACCACAACAAAAAAACTCCCCAATATCAAAAGCTATTAAGAACAACACCTCTGGTGGAAATGCTGGAGACTTGGAGAGCATTCTGCAGATGTGCATATGCTTATTCTCTTCTTCTGCTCTTCCCTAGAGATCTGCTATTGGGCAAGACAGATCTGTTTGACTTTACTCATTCTTATTTCTTTTAAAAGATATTTACAATTTAAAACATACTCTCTCTTCAATTAAATTTCTTCCATTCATCTCCATTTTTTTTACCCAAAATAAAACAGATCACAATTTGTAATTTAATCAGAAGCCAACACTTTAATCTGTTCAAAAGATACTAACTTTTCACACAGAGTAATTTTTGGCATTCCCAAAAAAATGGCACCTACAAAGAACATGCCTCCCAAAAAGTCAGAACACAAACAGTCTATTTCATTTATTGTGCTCACAGAAAGTCTGTTAATATCACTTCACCAGTTCCATTGGGGTGTTATCACAAATGGAAGCCACACAGCGCAGATGAAATCAGAAACTGGGACTTTCTAGAAGTGTTTCCACTCAATGCATCATTTGTTGCTTTTCTCCACCTGCTTTGTGCACCAAAATCATATTATAGACTCCCATCTGCCAACTGGCCTCCTGCTGAAGTGAAATCTTTATTCTATATTCATATGACCTTTCCTACATTCTGATGAAGTTACAAGGAGACAGAACACTCTCCTGCCTTGTCCATAGAAGTAGTACTAGAAGATAAAAAGTACAAGACACAAAAAAACCCTGTAACACAACGTAAGGTTTCGTCTTTTGTGTTCTTTGTGTCTTTTGTGTCCTACTGTAGACATGATTTTTTTTATTAAGGTTTTTTTCCCCTGACTTATTTAACAATCTTTACTACAAAGCAGAAATCAGTTAACATGGAGGAGAAAGATCACCATTCAGTTAGAATTCACAAAAAGTTGTTTGTAAATTTATCAAAACAACAAAGAGGTAGCAAATGTAGACCCAAAAAATACTACTACTTTTGTGTCAAGCCCCAAATTCAAAATTCAAACTGCTCCAAGAACTTCTGAAGATTATTACTGTGAGTGTACCAAAGTGACAGTATCTCTTGTGTAAACCACAGGTGAAACACAATTACCAAAAGCAATTACTGGAGCTCGATGGAAACGACTCTATAGTGTCAACTGCTGCAAATTAAGGGAGCACAAGTAGCGGATTCTCTTATTATCCATGTGGTGTTGTGTTTGCTCCATACTGAGGGCATGGCTAAAATCTGCTAAGTCTTTTAATTACTGTACCAAGTTTGGAAGCCACATCCAGTTTTTTCATCTAATAAAGACATTTTCCTGTAATATTCTCAGCAGAAATATTTACTGCAGTATAAAGACAGGACATTGCAAATGTATATTTTAAAATAAAGGATGATTTTATCTACATTAAACTCCATAGCTTCAGTTAATTTTACTACAAATCTCCCATTCAGAATAAGAGAAATAACTCTCCTCTTGGATAAATGTCTCCCTAGATAAATGTTAGAACAGTGGATTACACATATTAAATCTTCCAATAATTGAGAAAATGCTTTCAGACTGGGCTACAATGGAAGGGAAAGTTTCATCAATTGGTCAGTAACTGATAAACAAAACCAACAGAGAGAGCCAGACGAAGCACATCACAAAGCACCCCTCTATCACCTCTCCATAAACGTGACTCCGCGTGCCAACTCCTCTGGCACATACATGCCTCCAGTTGTATGACAGGCAGGATAGTACAGACCTTTTCTTATTTTGAAACACTACATGTATCCTGCTGTAGAAGTACTGCTGCTGACAGACCAGAGAATGTTAACTGGTCAATAAGCTTCGCAGAGGACTAAAATTTTACTTTTAAAGAGCATAATGGTCACTAATTTGTCCACCACTATCTGCAATTAATTAAAAAACAGGATAAAAGGTTAATGATGCACTATCTTGAGCTATGTTAAATGCTCAAGACAACTTATAAGCATGTGTTCACGTGACCTAAAACACTGCTAGCACTACTCACAGAAAGCAGAATCCTCCTTGGAAACAGACTGCTGGGAGCATCAATAATAAAGAAAACAAAGAGCCAGGAAAATTATTTCTATGGTTACAACAGCCAGAAGAGAACCAGTATCATGCCTGACCCACTCTGGTGCAGTTTATCATTTGTGGATACCGGAAGAGTGCATTCATACAGGAGAGCTTGCCCAAATGCTTATGGAGTTGTGAAGGGAGAAATAACCAGCCAATTTGCCATTTTGTAATATCAGATTCATTCCACAGATTCCATGCCCTACCCAGACAGACACTAAACAGGGAAAAATGGAAGTTACTCAAAAGAAATTGCCAACGGGGTAAAAACGTACTGGTTGAATGCTAGTCAAACTCAATCTTCTGAAAAAGCAAACAAAAAAATTCTACATCAGGTTCCCAACGAATTCTACTTACAGTAAATATTTAAGCAATAAACCTTTTTTCAGTCTAGACTACTGTAAAAATCCAAGAGGAATTACAAAGGATTATTGAGAACATTCAAGATATTACCTTTAACTTATTTCTACAAAGCACCACAGTTTTGATTCAGAGTCTAGTCCAAATATCCCAGAAAGCAGACTCAAAAATGCTTCAGATTATCTTTGAAAGAAACCCATAAATATTGAAGCAATGCAGCGTAAGAATAATAAAAAAAGAAAATACAAGCAATATCCAGGAAGCTCTTGGAACAGGAAAGGAATTTGACTCAAGTCACATATCCAAGTCTTCTATGAAAAGATTGTAAAGCCAAAAAAGTACTAACTCATCTAACCCACTTCTATTACTAAGGTACTTCCAGGATGTCTTAACCCATCAAAATGATTCTACAAAAGCATATTAACAGAGAAGCCACTGGCACAAAAAAAATTAAATAACAACAAAAAAACCTCAACCAAACAAAAAACCCCAAATCAAAAACCACCACCAAAAAATGCAAACCAAACTGAAGAATAGAGAACTAAAGCAGGATTTCTTACCTGTTGTGACTAGAGAGAGTGAAGAAAGTAATCCGTATACAGGTATAGGAAATCGTGAGAAATCTAATTAAATACAGTGCAGGCAAGAACTAAATTGGTAAAGGAGAGCTGTGGAGAAACAGCTACATTAACAGTAGAAAAAGCATGTAAGGCTACTGCAGTTTCCTGCACGATCTAGTACCACAGGCACTTTTCAGCTCTCCAACGTCAGACATCCTGCTTATCTTTCAAGCCCTACAATTAAAAGGTCAAGCAGAGAAGTGAGTCAGCTGAGGGAACCACTTCCAGTGTAGAGACATGTCTCTGGAAAAGGCAGAGTAGGCCAGTAAGAAGTCTAATTTACAGGACATTTGTTGTCAGGTGATCCAAGCAATTGGTAAATCTCCAGGATGTGCTCTGTTGTCCCATAAAAACACTTTTCTATATGTCATATATAAAGGGGTGGCAGGGAAAAAAGGCATCTTAAGCTTGTTATTCCCCCAGAAAGGGGGTGGAGTGAAAACTTAAAAGTACTCTTCCAGATTCCAAATTTGCTTTAAATAGTTTAAAGTTAAAAACAACTAAATAACCCCCAACAATAACAATACAGAACCCAACAAACACCACCAACACAAAAAACCCACAAATCAGTAACAACCCACAATGATTCATCTTCTTAACAGAAGAGCTCTTTCCCAAACTGAGAAGAATACTGATTAATCCAAAAATCAGTGTAATATTCAATTTTTCTGCTCAGTACTAGGAGCTAAAAGGCAGTCATCTGTCCCCTAACTAACTTCTAACCTTCCTGCAAACCCTGCTCCAGGACAGCACCTAGTGAGAAATGCTACGCACCCATAAAGCAAAAGGAGATGAAATTAAAATTTTTAACACAATCTTTACACATACGAATGTGTTATACAGTCAAGGAAATGGATGATAGGAACGAAGGAGTAATTTGCTGAAAAATTTTGAAAATAATAGAGAATTTAAAGTGTTTTAACTGTTAAGAACGTTCAAAAGTGTTATAAAATGGTCAGAAATTCTATATACATCATCTTATTTGTAAGTATCCAACTACTGTATACTTTAGAAACAGATAAACAATATGACAGAAACATTTCCCACACCCATACTTAGATTAACATTTTAACATATATCCCACGTATGGGGATATATGCCAGAACACCTGCCCAAAAGATAGAAGCAGTCAAGAAGAGCTTTGATCTCTTAATTCCAAACATCCCATATTACATTAACTTAAAATACTGC